CAGTGCGTCCGTCCGTCCGTCCGTCCGCGCGTCGTCCCCTGATCTGACCTCGTCGTAATGATCTCACATCAACTCGGCACCTCTCCCGCTCGTCCCGCCTCCCTCTTCACGCAGATGGAAACGCCGAGGCGAGAAGCTCACGGAAACGCTCGCCGCGCTCGACGCCGACGTCCTGTCGCTCCAGGAGGTGGACGCGTACGACGAGCACTGGGCGCCGTGGCTAAAGCGGCGCGGCTACGGCGGCGTGTACAAGCAGCGCACGAAGCTGACGAACGACAAGAAGGACGGATGCGGGCTCTTCTTCAAGCGCGCCAAGTTTGAGCTCCTCGCGCGCCGGGCGATCGAGTACAACGACGTCGCGTACGGACGGCCCGCGGGGTACGTCAAGACAGGGGCGGGGGCGGGGGAGGAAGAGGAGGGGGAGGAGGGGGATGGGGACGGCGCGACGACGGGGACGGGGACGGGGACGGGGACGGGGACGGGGACGGGGACGGGGACGACGTCGAACGACGAAAAAGACGATGAACGCGTCCCGGACGCGCGTCACGTCCGCGATTGCGTCGGCGTCCTCGCGCTCTTGCGCACGAAAACGGACCCGCGAAGGACCGTTCTCGTCGCCAACACGCACTTGTTCTGGGACCCGACGTGCGCGGACGTGAAACTGTCGCAAGCGGAGCGTTTATGCGCGGAGGTGGCGCACTTCATGCGCGAGCACGAGGACAAACTCTCCCCAGGCGAATCCGTCGCGTCGACGCCGGTGATCATCGCGGGGGATTTCAACAGCGTCCCCGGGTCCGAAGTGCACGCGCGGATGCTCAGGGGGATCATACCTGGCGTCGAGGACGGCGGCGGCGTCGGGAGGCGGCTCAGAAGCGCGTACGCGGCCGCCGCCACCGCGGGCGTCGTGAGGAGCGACCCCGGGTCGACGACGACGATGATCGAAACCGGCGAAACCGGGACGGAGGAGTTGAAACCGGCGCCGACGCGTCCCGAAACCGGCGAGCCCGCGCACACGAACGTGACCCCGGGGTTCACCGACTGCATCGACTACGTCTTCGTGAGCGACGGCGTGGACGTGACCGCCGCGGAGCCGCTGCCGGCGATCGAGCATCTCGGCGAGGGGCTGCCGAACGAGAACCACCCGAGCGATCATCTGTCCGTCACCGTCGACGTCGCGTTCTGAATGAATTCGAACGAATCGCGAATCGCTCGTCGTCGACGGTCGCGTTCTTCGGCGCGTCACGCTGTGATCATAGCACAGGAGTAGTAACGTATATGATTGATAATACACCCGACGCTCGCTAGAAGACGGAAGGAAGCGCTCACGCCAACCCTAACGCCATCGCCTCGCGGCGGAGCTTCGCGGCGGCGGCGGCGGAGAGCCCGTCGACCCCGACCGAGTCTCTCCGCGACCGCTCCGCCGCCTCCACGAGCGCCCTCGCCTCGACGCTCCCGCCCTCGTCCAGCATGAACCCGTTCACCGCCGCGCTCGAGAGCACCTGCTCCTTTCGCCAGTCCGCGGCCTCGATCGCGTCCACCTGCGCCTTGATCGCCGCCGTGCGCCGCGTCGGGTCCGGCTTGAACCGCTCGCCCGCGTGACCGCCCCACGTGCTCCCGGAGGGCTGCCAGAGGCCGGTGATGACGTCCGAGCCGCCGACGAGCTGCTTCCGGCGTAACGGATGCAGCCCGCGCGTTTCCCATGGCTTCTTCGGGTTCTCCGCGGCGGCGTCGGTCTTCTCCGACCGCGGCAGCGTGTTGACCTCCGCGCCGTGTCGCTCCAGATTGTGGACGACGCCCCAGCCGATCCCGCCGTCGTTCCGACCGCGATCGGGCCCCCCCAGCGGATCCGCCCCGCCCAACCGCATCCGCGGGACGTTCGCCCACCCGCCGACGTCGGACTCGCCCGTGCCGCCGGGATCCGCGAGCTTCGACCGTCGTCGCGCGCGCTCCGCGCGTATCGTCGCGGACGGCCCGCCGAAGCGCGTGGACGCGCCCATCGATGAAGATCCTCCGTCGTCGTCGTCGTCGTCGCGCCAGCCGTTCGCCGCGCGCGTCCGGAGGAGCTCCAGCGCGGCGGGGTCGTACGCGAGCTCCTCGTTCGTCGTCGCCCACTGCCTCTCCTCGCTCCAGTCGTCGTCGATCGCGCTGAGCGTCGGGGACTTGCGGTCCATGGCGTCGTAGTGCGCCCACGGGTCGTCCTCGCCGGGCACCGCGTTCTTCTTCTTCAGAGTCGTCGTCGTCTTACCCCCGCCGGATCCAGACCGCGCGCTGCCGGCGACGGAGCCGGGGCGCGACGGGAACCGCGTCTTGTCCGCGGTCGCGTCCGTCTTCCACGGGACCGGTTTCGTGTTCACCATCGCGCGTCGGTCGGCGGGCTCGACGCGGCGGCGGGCGGCGGGCGACGGCGCGCGGGCGCGAGTGATGGATGACCCGAAGAGAATCGCGTTTTCGGGGCGGACGCTTTTGGAAACCCCGAGTCGGGTTTGACGACGACAGCATGACAGGCGGATAGCGGAGGAGTGAATAACTTAGTGTCGACGTTACTACGCGTCTCCATCGCCTCTCCCCTCCTCCTCCTCCTCCTCCTCACTCACGCCACCTCCGCGGCCGTCGCCAACACCCGCTCTCGCACCGCGTCCGCCGCCTTCTTCGCCTGCCATCGCTGCGCGAAGTCGCCCACGTCGCTCGCGAACGCGCCGAGCGCGAACGCCGCGGCGAAGACGCCGAGAAATAAATCACACGCCCACTCGGGCGGCGCCGGGACCTCCGCCGCCAACACGTCAAACTTCAACGCCGCGACCAGCGCGCTCGGGTCCTCGAGGACCATCTTTTCGTAAAACGCATACGGCGCGGTCGTTACGAAGGTCACCGCCCCGGTGACCGACGCGAACAGCGCGACGACGACCGCGCGGTACGCGAGCGGGACGACGACGCGCGACGCGACGAGCCTCGGCGTCAGCGTGGCGACGAAAAACGTAACCGTCGCCGCGGGCTCGGAGACCCTTCGATACCACGCGTCACCGCCGTCGTTAAACGCGCACTTCGTCCGCGCGAACTCGACGCACGACAGCGCGAACGCGGTGACGTACGACGTCGCCATCGCGGCGATTAACTTGACGAGCGCGCCGTGGCGAAGCGACGCCGCGGAGACGACGACGACGCACGCGTCTCGCGCGGCGCCTTCGAGCCAATTCGTCTTCGCCGCGCGCGTCGACGGAAAGTATCCCACCTCGCTCGTCACCACGAACAGCAGACGCCTCAGCGCGACCGCGCACGCGAGCGCGACGACAAACGCGGCGAGGACGCAGTTCCCGGGGGGGGTCGCGGGCTCGAGGAGCGACTCGAAGAGAGCCGTCGTCCAACAGACCCCGTCGTCGGCGTCGGCGGCGGCGCGCGCGTCCACCACCTCGAACCACACGTGCGCGCACGCGAGCGCGCCGACGGCGAGGTTCAGGACGCCGTCCGCGAAAAGCCCCGCGAGGGCTTTAGAGCGCATCATCGCGGACTGTTTCGCGCCCGCGCGGCGACCGACGCGGTCCCGCCGCTCGAGCTCGTCGGCGCCGGCGACGCCGTAGTCCTTCACTCTCTTTTTTCGCCGCCGTTTCGCGCGCTTCTTCGCGCGTCGCCGCGAGCTCGTCACGAAGACGAACGTCATCGCGACGCAGATCAGATTCAGGATATACGTCCCAAACGCGAGCGTCGGTATCAACATCGCGTCGGACCGCGCGGCGTCGTCCGCGCGCGCGCCCGCGACGGTCGCGAGCGCGTGCGCTCCGAAAAAACACAGCGTCGCGCCCGCAATCGCCCTCGCCTTTTCCCCCGACCCGTGCGTCGTCCCTCGCGCGCGCGCGTGCCCGCGCGCGGCGCCCTCGTACGCCTCCTTCACCCACGTCGTCTGCAGGTCGTGTATGAGACCTCGCGCGAACCCAGCCTCGCAGTACGCGAAGTAAAACTCGAACATTCGAAGAAACTTGCGCGAGTATCCCATGGCGAGGATGTCGTCTTTTCTCGCCATCATCCGCTCGCGCCACAGACGCAAGGTGACCGCGTAGTGCGTCCCGATGTCGTCGTACGCGGGGTCGAGGATCAGCCCCGCGGGCTCCGCGGCCGCGACCATCGCGCCGACGGAGGGCAAGTGCCCGCCGGGGAAGATGTACGCTCGGATGAAGTCGGATTCAGACTTGCAGTAGCTCTCGTATCGATCGTCCGGCATCGTGATGACCTGAATCGCGGCTTTCCCGCCCGGCTTCAACGCGTCGGAAACGACCCGGAAGAACCCGGGGAGGTGCTCGTGCCCCACCGCCTCGATCATCTCGATGGAGATCACCTTATCGTACGTCGCCCTCTCGTCCGCGCCGAGATGATCGCGGTAGTCCTTGAGGACGATGGTCACGCGGTCCGCGACGCCGGCGGCGGCGACGCGAGCCGTCGCCTCCGCGAACTGGGTGGAGTTGAAAGGCGTCAGAAGCGGAGTTGAAAGGCGTCAGAAGCGGAGTTGAAAGGCGTCGAGGTGTGTCGGGATTGAAAACGAGGGACCCTGGGCGGAGAGAATCGCGCGGCAAAGTCCTTAAGGAACGGCGTGCACCACGCCAACGCGGTCGTATGGGAACCAGTGTGAGATAGAACGCGCCTGCTCGTTGCTGATCGTCAGCCCCGTGACTCTCGCGTTCGGGTATCGCTCGCACAGACGAATCGCGCACGCGCCCCACCCGCACCCGATCTCGAGGACGTGGTCGCTCTGCTGCACGTCCAGGCGGTCGATCATCGCGTCGATCTTGGCGTATTGCGCCGCCTTTAAGCGCTCCTCCCTCCCGGCGCGGTCGTCGTCGCGGAGGTCGCCCAACGCGGAAAACACCGTGCACCGCGTCTTCCACTTCAGCGGCTGATGTATCCCCGAGCTGTACAGCATCGTGTCGTCGAGCCAGAGCTTGTAGAACCGGTTCCCGGCGTCGTAGTGGTACTCGATGTTTCGCTTCGACCCTTCTCTCGTGTTCGAAAGCGCCGCGTGCGCGGCGAATTCCATCTTAGACCCGAGCCACCGCGCGACGGAGGCGAACGCGCCGACGACGCCGCCGCCCGCGGACGGCACGCCGCTGTCCGCGCCCGCGCGCGATCCCACGTTCGCGGGGTGGCCCGCGCACAGCATATCGAGGAGCGCGTATAAGTCGCAGTCGAAGTCGCCGTTCATGTACGCCTCTCCGAACCCGATGTCCGCGCGCAGGACGGTGTTCATGAACATCTTTTGGGTAATTGTCCATACGAGCGAACGTCGGGGTGGAGTTCAAAGGCGTCAGAAGCGGAGTTGAAAGGCGTCGAGGTGTGTCGGGATCGAAACCGAGGGATGGGCGGAGAGTGACGAGCGCCGGGAGAGAAAGTCCTTAAGAAACGGCGTTCATCACGCGAACGCGGTCGTACGGGGACCAGTGTGATCAGAACAGAACGCGCCTTTTGGTCGTACACGGTGACGGACACCTCCGGGACTTCGTACCCGCCGTCCACCGCGAGCTTCGGCGGTAGCCCCGGTATCTCTTTCCCTCGCATCTTCATCTCAGCGCCGTTCGGAAGAATCATCTTGAACGTTCGGTTCGGCGGGACCCAGCTCGCGCCGACGCGCTTGAACAGCGGCAGCGCGAGCGACGTCGTTCGGTTCAAACGCGGGTCGCATCGACGCGGCGTCCACGGGACGGACGCCCCCGGGCCGCCGATCATCTGCGGGTCGAGGGGTGGAGTTGAAAGGCGTCAAGGGAGGTCGGGGATTGAAAGCGAGGGGCGGGCGGAGAGATGGGCCGGGAAGTAAAGTCCTTAAGGATCGGCGTTCACCGCGCCAACGCGGTCGTATGGGGACCAGTGTGAGAGACAACGCGCCTTGTCCAACACGTCCACCGCGGACTTGATCCCGTCCTCGTGGAAGCCGTACCCGAGCCACGCGCCCGCGAACCACACGCCTCCGTCGCCCTGGAACTTGTCGTTGATCGCGGTCTGCGCGTCGATCGCGCGCGCGTTGAAGAGCGGGTGGCTCAACGTCACGCGGTGCTGCGTCGTCCCCGTCGCCGGCGGTCGCGGCGGGTTGAGCGTGACGAACAAATCGGGTTCGCGCTCCGGCAAGTTCTGCAGCAGGTTCACCCAGTACGTCACGCACACGCTGGCGTCTTCGCCGCTCGCGCCGCGCGAGGAGCCTTTCAGGCAGTTCCACGACGCCCACGCCTTCTTATTGCGCGGCATGAGCGTCGCGTCGCGATGGAGCCACACGTCGTTTTTTTGAAACTTAGGGTCGTTCCATACGAGGCGACGTCGGGGTGGAGTTGAAAGTTGTCAGTTGGAGTTGAAAGGCGTCGAGGTGTTTTCGGGATTGAAAGCGGGGGTTAGGCGGAGAGATGCACCGGGAAAAGTCCTTAAGGAACGGCGTCCACCACGCCAACGCGGTCGTATGGGAACCAGTGTAAGGATAACGCGCCTTAATCGCGTCCAGCGCGGCGCGTTCGGCGTCCTTCGCTTCCTCGCCCAAGATGGCGAGCGCCTGGTCGCTGTGGCACGCGAAGATGACGTCGTCGTACTCGCACTTCGTGATCTCCCCCGGCCTCGAACCGCCCTCGCGCGTCCAGTAGACGGCGACGCCGTACGACTTTCGCTTCACCGCGACCACGCGCGCGTCGAGCTCGACGACGCCGCGGCGATTCCCGTCGAAATCCTCCCTCGTGATCGCGCGAACGATCGCGTCGACGTACGCCTCGCTGCGCCCTCTCACGACGCGCCACAGCGGCCGCTCGACGAGGTTCAGGAGGTGGTGGTTCACCCAGAACCGCACGAGCGTCACGACGGGGAAGTCCAGAGTGTCGCGGTCGGAGCACGACCATATCGCCGCGCACATGGGCACGACGTAATTCTCCGTGAAGAACCGCGAGTAGCCCCTTCGCGCGAGGTACTGCCCGAGCGTCATCCAGCCGAATTCCGCGTGTCGCGAGTTTGGGGACTCTCTCAGAACTTCCGGGGCTTCTTTCCCGAACCGGACGATCTCTCGTATCATCAGGAGGAAGTCGGCGGATAACGCGTTTTTCTTCTGCGCGAACACCGCGCCTAAGGGCCATTCCATACAAGCGAACGTCGGGGTGGAGTTCAAAGGCGTCAGATGGAGTTGAAAGGCGTCGAGGGCGGGGATTGAAAGCGAGGGACCCTGGGCGGAGAGACACGCCGGCAAAAGTCCTTAAGGATCGGCGTTCACCACGCCGACGCCGTCGTATGGGGACCAGTGTATAGAACGCGCCTAATCCTCGAGAGCCCCACTCCACGGTGTCCGTGGACAGCGAGAAGGACATGTCCGACGCGTCCGAGTCGATCCCGAGCTCGTTGAACAGCCCGACGAGATGCGGGTACGTGGTCAGGTTGAAAACCTAGCGCAGCGGCGGCGGGGGAGCGAGGGGGGGGAGGGAGGGTCGGCGGGGTCTGCGGGAGGCGAGACACGCCGGGTAAAGTCCT